CATATACACATATTTTGCCGGTGTTGTACGCCGCCCAGATGTAGTTGCCTGCACTCGCCAATGCGTTGATCTTCCATGTGCTGATGTTCATCATCATCACGCATGAATAGTCATTGGTATTGTAGACAGTCACTTTGCCATCCACATGACCAAAGAAGACCTTATCCGGATGTGACTTGACAAGAGTGCCCGAAGTAACCTCGCCGGCACTATCCGCTATCAGGGGACGAACGAGCACTTGGAATTGGGTTCGCCCATCAGCTGTAGGCGCGAATACTCGAATCTCCTTGCCTGTCGCATGCCAAAGATAATCCCCGATAACCATGGAATGTGTGTGCCCTTTTGGAAGCTTATAACTCTGAGTGGGATGTCCTGTAATGTTTGCAACAGCTTTCTCGTCAGGCCCCCACACGAGTAGTGTTCCTGATTCATCCATCGTCCAGATTTCGTTCCAATGTCGGAATATTCGTACAATTTCGTTTCGACCATGGACGTTTGGCTTGCTCGGTGTTATGGTATGCGTCGCCACCTCAACTTCCATGAGGTCTCCTGTATTGGTACCAATCCATATTCTCTTGCCTTCTTCTCGCGGGTCAGCAGCAGGTTTGAAGCTTACCGCTGTCGCCTTGACTCCCTCAGTATGCTGTAAGCTCATAATCTGCTCGCCGTCTATGAGACTCCACACCCTTGTCATGTAACCACTGGCGCAAATAAATTCACCGCAAACGTCGAAACTTCTCGCATCATACTTTGTTGGAATCTCATAAGTTCCATGCTTGCTGAAGGGTGGCCGTCGATTGGTGTTCGAAGCCTCGGGGTATGTCGTAACGTGATGGATAGGCTCAGCCTTTGGAGCAATTTTTGCGGCAACAACTGGAGTGGATTGCACAGACTTTGGAGGTGCGGCAGCAGCAATTGGGGCGGAAATGGTCGTCGGGGCGATACGGAACTCGGCTGGTGTTCGGTCAGATGCTCTATCTATCGTCATAGACCTGCCATGACCTCGTGAAGGAGCTGCAAGCTGTTGCTGAGGTTGCTGTGTCGTAGGTGTCGAAACAACTCGTTTGGGTGGTGAAGAAGTAGGCGCCGGATCAACGGCTTGCACTGCTGTCGTTGCAGCTGGACGCTGTGGACGTGGGGGAGGAGGCATGCTATTACTATTATTGTTTACTGGAGGAGGTCGAGGCGGGATGTCAAAGTTTGCAGGTCTTGCAGGTAGTGCTGGCCGAGGCTCGCCAGTTACTTGAGGAGTTATATGACCTCTTGAGAACCCATTGGCCTCTTCACGATCCTTTCTCATAGTTGTGATCGAATGATGAACAGGCGGAGGATCAAAACCCACAACCACAGACTTTGGCCTGCTTGGTTCAATGTGTGATTGTGGCCTTGGTCGTGTTGGTAGTTTTGGAGGTGTCTCCTCCCCAGATCCCAAGCTACTTGGCGGACTGTTAAACGGTGAGTTTTCCTGGGAGATGCCACCCTTCCCAATGACTGTTGGCCCAGAAATAGATGCGATTTTGGGAGGCGCAGGTATAAGTGACTTTTCATTGCGAGGGGCTGGCGGTGGTGGAGGAACCTTGGCTTCTCGAGTCCTGATCAGCTCCCCAGAACGTCTAGGTGGAGGCGGTGACGGTGGTCTCGAGCCGCTAGGGCGAGGAGACTTCGGAGTATTGAGAGATGGTGAAGTATTAAGTGATCGACTTGGAATCTTGAATGATCGGCTACCACCGGTTGGTGTTGGAGGTGTCGCGACAGCATCTGGGTTTACGAACGAAGGTTGGTCTCCAACTGCTAGTGCCGAGATTCGACCCTTCGGTGGCGATTGAGGTGGAAGAACCGTCACAGCTGGAAGCGTAGCCGACGCAGGTGGTTGTTGCAGCTGAACTGGTTGTGGTTTCGGGGTCGGAGCTGGTCGTGCGGACGTCGGCGGGGGAGGGGCATCGTGATTCACAGACAGTGCCGCTGGTTTAGGCTTTGGTCTCGCAGGGATTACTGGGGTTGAAGGACTGGCCGGCGGTACTTCTTGTCCAGGCTTGAAATCACGTAGGCGGTTCGGTTTGGGAGCTGGGGAGATAGGTCGTGAAGGAGGTCCGGTGGCAGCTGGAGCTGTAGCAGGTGGAACATCGACAGGTTTGCTGACGTTGGAGTTGGTCGAGTTGCCCATGTTCTCGAATCGGGCTCGTAATGAGGACACCGGCTTCTGTAAGTCTGTCAGCTTTGTAGATACAGGAGACAATGGGAATCCATACAAGTGAAGAGCCGTCAGGCCCCTCTCCATTGCTTGGCTCCATGATAATAAGACAAATGCTTCCTCTCGACAGCGAGGGTCGAGGGTGACTCTACCCGCTACACCCACGCCCAGTCGTCTCACTCATGAAGGCATCAACAGTCGAAGGTTGAAGCTGAATCCGGCGCGACAGGTCGTAGTAAGCCAGAGTCGAGCAAAGAGAGTGTAATAAAGAGCCAGAATTCGAGACGGTAAGTTAAAGCTCCAAAAGTCGGCACTGGGCAGTGACAAGGAACGTTGGGGGTCGACGAAAGAGCGGGTGGGTGAAGTTAATGTTAATAACAGGGGCCTTTGCCGAGAACCCAAAGAGTCTCGTATCGTCGATATCGTGGTGGAAGTGCGTGGAAAACTAGCGAGGGATGTTTTGGAGAAGTGTCTTGTTTTTTTCTCATTCAAAGTCCCCTATTCTCCTCGTGGCTTCGATGTCGATCTTGCTGCGAGTTGTCTTGCGTGGTCTCTCACAATTTCGAGCTGGCTGAGCCACCCTTATGTCATAAGTGGGTGCGTCTGGCGTAGTTCTTGGCACTGTAGAGATATGTGTTTTGCGACAGGTCGATACTGTGCATATAGGTTCGTTTCATGAATGATGCACTGTAGAGCTACCAGGGTCAGTGATTTCCGCTAAGGTTCCAGGGGTGTATCAGCGGGGAAACCATTGAAGTTCAAGATGTCCACGCGGTCAGTAAATGAAATCATGGGCGTCATGATGTAAGGATAATCGCTAAGGAAGAACAGTTCTGTAAATAGTTTAAGGTTATTCTGAGGCGTGAGATAGATTATATTACCCAAAATTTGGTTGAAATTGATATCATGCTAAAAAGTACCTCGAAAGTTGTCCGATTTAGTCGTTGTGCCTGTTGATCGACTGTCATGAAACAGTTGCACATATTTACCTGCAACAGAGAAAGCTCTAATAAAGATATTTGTTATAGATGGTCTATGTAAGATAACTAGTAGTCAAAACTCATCATAAGCCTGCACTCGTGATTGTCAACTGGCCCAAGGAATCAAGTGCCGATCAAGCCTAGAGCTCACATATCATAAGGTTCAGATTCAACTCGCCGCGTGCCATGGATCAAAGCACAAATAGATTGATCCCTGCAAAAGCTTCGCCTGTGACCTTTTTAACGGCAGTTTGTGGTTGCCGCAACACCCCAAGGTGAAACTGTTCTAGCGGCGGGAGATGGCCTAGCATGGCCTCTAGGAGCAAGAAAACACGAGACCTAGCTTTAGGGTGATAAAATAAACTCTACAAAAGGTATCCTAAACTCACCCTAAATTTATACTAAGTTACCTAAGTCTTTTTATTAGTTAGGTTTAAGGTCCCAAGTTTTATTTCCTCCCCTAGCATGGCCAAGTCAAGCACTGAAAGCCATCGGAACTCTTTAACGGTACGTACCCAAATCTGGCCCGGCGCCAATGGGAGCGGCAAGGCCTGGACCTCGAAAGGAACCTCTCGGTTCATCATGTCAGGCCATTCCACTTACACCTTGACAAAACCCTGCCTCTTACAATCTTTCAATCCTGCGTCCCGATTTTCGCTCTCAAAAATTTCACATCAATCTGAACTATCGATTCTCGCCAAAATGAACACTGTAAGTTTACAACGAAACAAATCCGATTATTGCGCCGTTGATACTGACTGCTCTAGGTTAAATCTTTCTGGTTCGTACTTTTGCGCCTCCGGTTTCCGCTCCCCCGATCTTTAGCAATTCGAAACTGACAATGTTAACCATAGGCTGGGCTGGGGCTCTCTTTGCGTCGGTAAATAACCTTACAATTCCTTCTAACCTAGTACATCAATTGACCATATCACAGCTGGTGGCGGTGCCTACTACTTCGCTAAGCAGCAGATCAACGCCGACCGACAGGCCAAGATGGAAGCCCACCGCAAGAAGAGACAGATGATTGAGGATTTGGAAACCACAGAGGGCAACGGAAGTCCTGCCCGCACCGATAGCACCGGTTCCCCAAGCCAAGAAGCAAGCAGTGACCCTGCCCCTACGAGACATGCGCCCGAGACCGAGAGCCAGCGAATTGGAGAGAAGAGCAAATACGAAAGTGCAAATGTATATCGAAGTCCAAAGGGAGATCGGTTCTCTTAAGCCAACAACCCTGAAAAGTGTCTATTGGGGAGAAGGCTCGGTATTGGAGCTTTGTATAACAATTACCTTAACGCATCGTCATTATGAATTACTAGAAAAAGGCAAAGGATTTCAGATTGCTTGGATGTTTGGAATTGAGAGATTATCACTGAATTTATTTTATTTGCAATTGTACACAAATTTGCTCACCAAACGCTGTCATATTCGGTGATAAGCTGGTTGCAACACATCTTTACGGACAAGACCGGTTGGAGTGGAGCCTTGAACATGGTTCCGACCTCGCTTGGAGCTTCTACGGAAAGAATCGCTCTTTTCTGTGTTGCTGCAACGTTAGCACACTCTCACTGAATCAGTATTACGAGAAACTGAATTGGGTATTTTCCTGAGATGGTCCGAGTAAAGTGACGTTATTCGCGGCTCGTCATGAGCGTCATGCTCGAATTACCGCTTGTGCAGCCAAGCCACGTGCTGAGAGACCCGGCAATTAGCCGCATTCAGTGAAGGAGGCTCTAACTTAGCCTCAGCTCCACCATAGCTTCAATAATCAACTTCGTCCATTCAACATTTTATTGTCTTCGTATTAGAGTCTCTAGTGATCACTCAGAACAATGGCTACGCCAGAGCTGGCCATCGCAAAGGCTACCCTCTCTGCCACTCTCTTTCGCGCCGATCCATCATCTCTTAGCCGTCCAGAAGTCGATGCCTTCTTCCCAATCCTTACAGACGCCCTCGCCAAGTGCTCGCGCCCCAACGTCCAGGTCTGCTCCATCGCTTGAAAAGCTCTTCCCTCTGTACCCAAGCAGAAGTCACTAAATTTTGCGTGCTTTTTTTGGTTAAACAGAAATGCAAGGTTTGGATCATCGATAAAATTGCGCCCTCTGCCGCGCGCACGACTGCCCTGGCAAAATACTTCAACGCCCTATCCAAGAGTCTACAGGACGAAGGCTCACGGCCGAGCCTTAAGCGACGGAGACTGCATCTTTTGTATGTTTTAAATGACGTGCTGTATCACGCCGTCACGAGAAACGATGACTTCAAGTTTGCGACAGCTTGGGAACCCGTTTTGCCTGGGATGATCGCAAGCGCCGCCGCGTTCGACAATTGCCCGAAACATAAGCAAAAGATCGCGGATCTTATTCGCCTGTGGGAGGACCAGCAGTACGTCAATTCTAGTTTCGCCAAAAAGCTCGAAGATGCCCTCGCTAGTGGTGTCGCTCCTCAAACGGCCCAAGAAGCGCAAGCATCCAATGTTACTCTTAAACTTGCCAAGGACGCGCCCTATACGCTTCCTTCTTTCCATGGAGATAGCACGGTACCCTGGTACGATCTACCCGCAGCAACATGGCTACCTCACCTTACCCCAAACTCGACGAAACCAATGTTTCCCGACCAGATTCGACCTATTCAACTCGCAGCTGGCCCTGCAGACAAGGTGCTTGTCAACGCTGTACAAGACCTCCTAGGAGAGGTTGAGCGCATGTTCTCGAAGGAGCAGAAGTGGAATGACGAACCCGGTAACGATCTAAATGAGTTGGGAGAACGAGTCGTTCTGGATGAAATAACGGGTGAGGTTATTGGAGGAGACACATACTACGGCTGGTCCCGTCAGTTTTGCGAGAAAATGAAAGAGAGAAAGAAGAAGGACAGGAAGGGATCAGACATGGGGCGTTCGCGCTCCAGATCTCGCAGCTATTCTCGCAGTCGATCCCGAAGTTCTTCACGGCCCGCCAGGGGTCGAAATCTTTCCCGCAGCCGAAGCCGATCATATAGTCCTGATAACGATCGCGGCGCAAAACGACCACGTAGTCCCAGCTACAGCCGGAGCCGAAGTCGGAGTCGAAGCCGTAAAGCACGATTTGAGCGCCCAGGGTACAGCAGATCACCATCGCGTTCACCTCCACGCTTTCAGGACAAGGGACTCCAAGACCGTCCACATCGTCCGCCCCCTTTCCCTCAACAGACGCCTCCAGCACCTTTCCCTCCTATCCCACCACCAGGAGACTTCCCTGCTCCTCCGCCTCCCCCAACTGGCTACCAAGGTCCTTGGCCACCGCCGCCGCCTCCTCCTCATATGGCTCAAGGCTGGTTCCCCCCTAACCCAGCCATGATGGGCCAGATGGGCCAGATGATGGGTGGCTGGAATGTTCCGCCCCCTCCACCTCCGCCGCACAACGGATATCAAGGAAGGGCCCGAGGAAACGGGTATCGTGGGAGAGGGAGGGGTGGATATGATCGAGGTCGAGGGTGGTAAGATATCCGACGAGACATTTGTAACAAGATACACTGATATACAACTACATGTTAATAATAGATCTGTGAATTTGATTCACATCTTGCACACAATGGGATCCATGATTTAGCAATGCCGTAATAGTAATGACTTTTATTTTAGTCTTGCTCATTCATCGTCTACGTAAAACCAAGCAGACCCTCATTCCCTCTTCCCTCTTTACACACAGCAAAAGCACAAAAAGCACAACTCAAACCCGGGACCAGCGAAGAACCTACAGCTCCTCCATGCGCCCGGTTCCATGTCGCGTGAAGGGTGAAAAAGTGAGACAGCCAAAAGAAGAAGAAAAACACGAAGAAGAAACAGAACAAAGTTAAGTATTCGCCCCAAAGAGTTACACGAGAAGCATAGACATCCATGTTTTTTTAATGCTCGGTTCCCATCATGCCACGACAGGCAATATAGTATGAAAGCACGCGTTCTTTACTTGTCATCTTGAGAGCCAGAGCGGGAACTCAGTAGCATTGTAGCATATGCACGCTTTTGTCCTCCCCAGAACAATCTCCCCTGATTGTGGTCTAGCTGAGGAGCAAACCAAGAAAGAAGGTTAAAGGGTCAAAAGGCGAAATATAGCGATGGTTCTCACACTGGCCAGTCCCAATCACAGTAAAAGCGACTGTATGTCGAGTACGCGTGTTCTTCAGTCCATTATTGAACCGCGAAAAACTAATCCCTTCTCATAATCATAATACCACCGCCAAACACGACTATGCAGCAATGATCGTTATCCGAATCCACCAGTGTCCCTCTGTATTCGACGTTGGAAAGGGGACTCGTCCCTTTCTTATCCAAGTTCGATGCTTTGACGATTGTTGGATAGCTGCTAACTTGGATTACCGGCTTCGAGTAGATCCTACAGATTCCTGTCGCTCGTGAAGATTGGGTCGGCCGTCTTGCAACTTAAGCGAATCGAGGCGCTTCGAATTATCCTCGGTTTGTGGGTCGACTTCGTCTACGCGAGGCATGGGGTTGACATGGTTTTGTGCTGGGGCATCAGCGGTTCCATTGCCGTTACTTTCCCTCTGTTGGTTGGCCTTTTCGCTCAGAGCAGCCCATTTACGCTCTCGAAGAGCTTCACGTGCTGCTGCGCCGTTCTGCTGTTCTGTGTAGTCGTGCGAGCAGTCATCAAATAGCTGTGGGTTAATCTCCATAAACAGCTTCATAGCATTGTAAACCATACCGTGGATCGTTCTGTAACAGTTAGGCTTGGTCTTGGCTGAGAGTGTTCAACGTAACATACCTGTTCCAGTGGCCCTTTGAATTCTCGTAGAGAGGAGCAAACATAATGGGTAGAATGATCTCGACGTTGTCGCTGACAAGATTGCAAAAGTACTCGTTGTTCCAGAAGTACAGGGCTCGCTCAGCAACCTGGAAGTGAGGGCTGGCAACAGACTTGGCAAGCTGGTGGAACAGAGGTTCTTGAACCTTTGCAAACTCTGCAGGGTCCATGACCTCAAAGATGTCTTCGACTTCGTTGAGGAACATGACCTCCTTTGTGCTGTTGACCTTCGGCCAGTAACGGAGTAATCCCAGAACCACCTGAGATGATTAGTATGACATCAAGAAACCACAAGTTTAACTTACATCTTCTGTAAGAGAAGCATCCTTCTCCAAGAATTGCACAATACAGTAGGCAAGCTGAGGGTGGTACATGCTCAGACTCTTGGGCTTGTGCAGCGGCAATAGCACTCGGGTCAAGAAGATCTTGTGCTCCTCCTTCAGAGGGAGAGCAAATCCGTTGATAATAGAGCCAAGAATCTCGAGCAACTCGGCAATGCCGTTGAATCGCTCGGTTTCGTAGGTGAACTGGAAGAAGACGTTGTTGATGGATCGTCGAATAAAGGATCGTAGATTAAGGAATTTTCCGTAAATGCGATGGAGGGTTGTCTTCAAGAAGTCTCGCTCACGGGGGTCCTCTGAATCAAAGAGCTCGAGAAGCTGGAGGACAAAGCTATGGTCAATGTAGGCCTTGGCGATGTTGGTGTTGAAATCCTGACTCTCAATGAAGCGCAGGAAGAACTCATAAACGACCTGGATATGCGGCCAAGCAACCTCGAGAACGGGCTCATCCTCTTCGGGATCGAAAGCCTCGCCTTGAGGGTTCATTGGAGGAGGGATCGGACGGAACAAGTTCTTGGAAAACATGTCAACAACCTTGGGGTACATGGGTTCTGTGATGACTTGTCGGTTGTTGGCGACATAATCCAGTAGCTCGTGCAAAGCTAGCCTCTTGATCTCCTTGGACTTCATGTCACCACTCGCATCGTTAAAGTCGAAAATGACGTTGCACTGATCAATTTTTTGCATGAAGAGTTCTTGTCGTCGGTTAGGGGGGACCTCGTGGAATCCAGGCAACTTCTCTAGCTCGCGGTGAGCGGAGATATCGAATCGTGAGGAATGCTGTCTCTTTGGGGTTCTGAGTCCCTCGGGAATCGCATCGCGGTTATCTATTCCCCGATGGATCAAGAGCGACTTTTGTCCTGCCTTAGGAGGGGCCAAATCGTGTGGCATCGTCTCGGCGGCTCCCGGGGGAGGGACATGCTGTGGTAGCAGTGATTAGTCGAAACTTTGAGATTGAATGATAGATAGTAAGAAGTATAACTTACACCTGGTGTTGGGCTGATGACAACAGTTGGCGGAAGTCTCGAGTTGGCACTTCCGCCGTTGGGGCTCGAAGCACCTCCAGTTGCAAAGCGATCAGGGGTGCTACCGGCCTGAGTTACATTGGACAGATTGGAGGGCTGTGAGCCACTACCGTGTTCGCCTCCGTGTCCAGCATTGTTCTGTGGCAGTGGTTTGTTTCTAGGATCATTCAAAGTCGACGTGGAGGATGACGGCGTAAGTACGGGTGACTGATTGGAGTCCCGTGATGAGGGAGACGCGGTACCATCCTTGGAATCCTTGTTCTTCTTAGAAGACTTATTTGGATCTTTCCCACGCGAAAGCTGGATGACATTAGCACGAGCAGAACTGGTAGATAACAAAGTAACAGCGACATACAACTCTCTGACTGAAGCGCTTCATCTTGTCGGACAACAGCGTGTCGTGTGGAGGGGCGGTTTAAGACGCCCGCTGCTCAACTGTATGAGGCAGTGGGGCACCGGGGCAACGACGTCAGGGGCAAAGGGACGTCGAGGGTGTGATAACAGCTGCGCAAGCAACAATATCGATGATTCGAGGCGTCGTAGCGATGAGCGATGAGCGATGTCGATAATCGTTGTTAGGGGTCGATTTCAAGGCAAGAGGAGAGGGGCCAGCCTGGCGAGAGCGTTGAGGTCCTGTCGAGAGCCGGACGAAAGACCGCGAGAGCGAGAGCTTCTAAGCTGATGAGGCTGGGACAGCTGGTGTAAAAAGACTACTCGGGAAGCGAAAAGCGACGATTGATCCCATGCAGGAGAAGAACGATGAAGCACTGAACCAGCCAGAGCTGAAGATCTTTGGTAGGTAGGTGTTGGGCGACAGTGCGTCGAGATGAGGTGCAATCAAGTGCGGTGCTGTGCAGTGCGTGTGCTGGGCGCTGGTACTGACTGAGGCGCTGGCTGGTACTTGCACAGGAGGGTGGGAAACTGTAACGGGGCTCGGCCGGGATGGACTCTGCTGATGCTTCCTGGTGCTGCTCCTGTCTTGTCTTAGGGAGGAGAAAACGTAAGAAGATCAAAGGTCGAGAGGAGCAATGTAGAACTGGAAGTGGAACGAAGAAGAAGAAATGTCAAGGACGCGGCGTGGTCGAGATGCTCACGGCGGCTTCAGACTCGAGCCTCGTTGTCGTCGATGAGGAAATCGGAAACTTGTCGTAGGTAGCGGACGGGACGTGATTGTCGTTGGGCGCCGGCGAAGAGTAGGTATTGTGCTTTGCGGGGGGGTGGAAGCTCCAGTTGGAGGGAACGCGCCTTGATTATTGGAGAGGGAGGTCAGGTTCGGGTCATGGTGTTCGAGTAAATCACCAGCTGTTAGTGGTAGTGTGTAGATGCTGTGGTGTCGCTAACAGATCCCCTAGGCATGCACTGGTGAGCTCAATTGGATCGACCCTGGTTGGGATGACTAGGAACGGGCGGTGAAACCACTAGAGGCGCTGCAGAGGCACATTAGGGGGATGTGCCCCTCCTGAATGGACCCCAATGCTTGGTAGGAGCTGGTAATTAGGGAGAGTGTTGGATTAATGCTTGCTATAATTTTAAGTTACATCGACTTTGATGCGCTTGGTGTTGGCCATTTATTAGCCATTATTTGTATCACTTAATGTTGTTTATAGTTATTTCCAAGTTCAACTGAAAGAACATCGAATACCGATCTGCCAAGAAGTGGGCGTCAAGGGAGTCAGTTGGAGTGCCACTAGGTGTGAGTTGAACCAGTCACGCGGCCGAAATTACAGGTAGGCTGTGTAAGAGGCCGGGCATTTAACATGGGAATGTTCAGCCGCAGATAAACAGAATCTCGAAAGTCCGTTCTAGAAGGAAGGATATCAGACGAAGGTTAGCATGTGCTTTGGACTCGAGCATATCAGTGATTGATACTCTATTTCTAGTAATTGACTGATTGTAAGCTTATTTTGTTATGATGTTGGAGGCATGCAAGTGCAAATTCAGGTGAGAGGAAAGGTACAGCTTAGAACATTCCGTAGCTTGGATGGGAATGCCAAAGTGTGGTTTCATGCCATCTCAGCCGTGAGTTAAGCCGATTCTTCGATCTGAGGTCTTCTCTCGTCTCGTTGTTTCTCTTCGTGATACCAATACCCTTTCAAACTCAATATTTCGTAGGAGTCGATAAGCTGGGCCGTAAGCACAGACCAGAAACAGCCACAGAATTTGTTGAAAATCACACTGTCCTGTACAAGTGCTTCCGGGCAAGAGCACAGTGCCTGAAGTCGCATGCCCAGCCACAGCGAAATCAATGTCAAGGGCACCCAGTGAGAATCACGTCAAATCATCATCATCGCGTATCCAATGCAACAGCGGCATCGACTCTTCCCCTCCGTTAATTTGGGCAGCATCAGCACAGAGTTCGACTCATCAGCGAGTTCCAATTGGTCACTATTCTTGGGGCTGTTGTGTCACCATCGTCCTCCCATAAAAGTTAGCTCCGGTGTGAAACTGGAGCTTTTCAGTGTTGTTTTTTCAACCTAGAGTTTACAGGGCGACAACAGAACTTACATGAAGATACAACGATCTTCTTTTTTATCATAAATCGGGCCTTTTCTTTTGATGTTACGACCACAATAACAGTTGCTAAGCAAAGATGGAGATTTCGTCAGATGAAAACGGCTATGAAAGCCTGGATGATACTCAACTAGAGAATTACAATGGTGAAAGAGCCAATGATTCAGTTCATCCAGATTCAGCTCCCAGATATACAGTTCCTTCTCGTGCCATTGGTGCTGTAGAAATACCTGCTGTGGTTGAAAACATCGACCGTACTATCAAGGCGTTCGGTCGAGTACCGAACCTCCAACATGTAAGAACTCAAACAGTTCAGTCTTCTACTTCCACTAAAGGGAATTCAGGTCATTGATGCAGGGAGAAACTCGATTCCTCTCTATTTGACACCAGAGATACCGTTCTGCAAGCCCATCATGTCACATAATGCCCGCAGTCATAATGTCGTGTTGAAGATCACTGTTCCAAAACGAACTGGGCGCAAGCGTAAGCGTGGTACTGATGGACCATGGGAAGGAGATGTTGAAATCAACGACGCTGAGGATCAGCCGCAAGAAAATGACGGAGTCTCGTCTTACGCCAGATTAGATGACCCCAAAGTATTGCGCCGAACAATGGCAGACAATGTCGACAACTATCAGGTCGAAGCAGTTGGTGTTATCCGGAACACACATCGATTTCGTGGACTTGCAGACTTTTACTGGGATATGTCTAAATCGTCATTTGCGCAACAATATGTGGACAAGGTTCTACCTGGAGATGGTATGCTTTTCGATCCAAAATCTGTCCAAGATACTAACAGCTTGCAGTAGAAAAGATAAAAGAGTTCAAGTTCCAGCCCGGAACTGACAAAGGACCAAATGTCGATATTCTACCACCACCCATGTTTACACACATGAGCCTCCCTTTCAACTACCAATACTCACAGAACCCTTACGTTCGTGCCACTGAAGATGGCGGTACAGTCAACACTACAGCCGTGAAGCAAGTCGGTTACTTCATTGGCGCAGAAGACCCTGCACCAGCTGGGCCTCAACTTGAACCCGATATGACCGATCCCAGAATGGTGGAAATTATGGCTGAACTCGAAGCGGCCTTCGACGAGCGGCCAGTGTGGACACGGCGGTCTCTACTCAATCACCTTGGAGGCAAACTCAAGAACTGGAACGAACTCAAAAAGTATCTCAACTACGCAGCTTATCAGTTCAAGGGAGGGCCATGGAGAGATGGTGTGGTTCCTTATGGTGTCGATCCACGAACCGATCCCAAGTATCGAACATATCAAACTCTCATGTTTAAGCTTCCTAAGCAGAAGCGTGCCCAGCGCGGTCAAACGTGGAAATCGCTACGCAAGGTCCAAATGGGCCCATTGAAAGAATTTTTGGAGGAGCTCTCGGAAAGCCACGTTTTTGACGGCGACACCTTTCACACTGACGGTAAAGTGTGGCAAGTATGCGATATTACCGACCCACTACTCAAAGATCTTCTTGAAAATGCTGCTGTCCGTCCCGAATGGGACCCAAGCAGCGGATGGTATCACGGAGGTCTGTGGGCAAAGGTCAAAGCCATCATGAAGACAAAACTTGTTGCCATTCAATTCGATCGACACCTCACGCGAGAAGATTTCGCAATGACGCTACAAGCAGGAGACGAAACTCCCATGCGATCCAATCAAGCAACATTTCATCTCCCTCTGCCTAATCTACGTCTCACAGACGAAGAGCTTACGCAACTTCGCGGGCGGCAACCAACAAAGAAGAACAAGCATAAAGGCTACAGCGTGCGTGTTAGAGATCCCAACGCAGGACCAAAGCGTGCTCCAGCTGAGGAAACCCGTGCGGCTGAGCGGGGAGAAGAAGAGGCTAGGATATTGGAGGAGATGGGATCCGGAAATGATGATTCGGATGATGAGGATTCAGGGGATGACGAAGATGGTGACATGACAGCTGTACGGGACGAGGACATAGACAGAGAGATGATGTATGGATGAGGGGCCAATACGGTAACCAGACATAGGTAGTATCGAGCAAGTAATGTTGCAGTATGCAGTCATCTGTAAAGAAGCAAAGGGGAAACGTACTCATCAAACAATTCCCGGTCACGATTGTGCTTGCATTGGGCATGTTTCCAAACCTTCATTACAGCTTGTTGCTCTTTTGCCCCCATGGTATTCCATTCTATTGTCTTCTCTCCGGCTCCCATGGGCAAATGTTGCCAACAAACTCCCTGTTTGAGCAGTGCTTGGCTTTCAAACTCTTTGTGAGAAACGATATGAAGTCAAAAGTTGCATTAGTAACCATCAGCTACATCATTATACAAGTAAAGTCAGTACCGGAATCATGCTGAAAGTGAAGTGAGTTGCCAATCGGGATACCTACCTACCTAGGTAAAAGAGTCCCTGCCATTTGATTCTGAGGCTATTGCGCCTTCCATCTTTTCGTTGGTTTGATCCATTCTTATTTACCTTCTGTTAATCCCCTGTTGTCCCTCAAACTCATTGTCCCCTCACACGTCTTTGCAAGCACATTAACATCCTTATTCCGCACATTTACAGGGCTTCGCAATGACAGTGAATCACTGCGCTCTTGTTTACCTGTTGCCTTCGTTTTCATCTGCATATAAATTCCCGTTTTCACCCTCCTTCCTGCATCTCTCCGTTTCCACATCTGCATCCATCCGCATTAACGCAGACAAACACCAATCTTTCCGCTTCTCTCTTCACCAAACAGAAGATGGCAGCCGTCAAACACAAGTCCCATGGCGCGTTAGCCATCGAAGTCTCCGAATATAAAACGGGGTCTGGCACCCTCACCTGCAACAGGTTCTGGTGTGAGCCGTGCAAGAAAATCTTCATAACTTGGCGGGAACTCCACGAGCACAAAGAAAAGATGAGCGCCCAAGGCAAGCCTAAGCATATTCACTGCCAGTTCTGCAGTCGTGACTTTCACACCGAAGCCGCCAAAATCACCCACATCCAGCAGGTTGGTTTCGTCTCTTCTTCTCCTGTATTGCCCTGCTAACTCTTCTGCAGGATCACCCCCAGGAACAAAACCTCTATTGTACAGGATGTGGAAAAGGCCCTTTCGTTCGAGTTGGCGGACTCGTATCTCACGTCGAGAAAGAGTGTCAAATGCTCAGTATCAAAACTATTGAGACCATGCGTGAGGAGAAGATGGGATTCTCCAAGGCTCTCACTGCTCTGACCCAAGAGCCTCTCAAGAACAACTACGGACGTTACATGCCCGAGGGTGCGGACAAGGGTCTTCCTGATGCTACCTGGGAGTCAACCGGAAGCATTCCTCCTCCCTTTACTATTGAGCAGAGTCAGTTCCCCAGCCTTGGCGAATCTAGTTCTACCGCACTCCAGCCCGTCAAGGACAAGGATGAAAGCAGCTGGAACAAGGGCAAGAATCTGTTCCCAGATGCTCCTACAGCTCAGCGCCCTACTCAGGAGCAGCTCAAGCAAGTCACTGCCCCCAGCGCAAGAACTGTCTTTGAGCATATGAGCGAGTTCGACCCCAAACATCCCAACTTCAACGTGGGCCGCTTCTACTGCGAGTACACCAAAAAGTTCAACTGTCGCTTAGGGAGATGTGGCAAGGCGTTTAAGACAGCGAATGCGCTCATTGCCCACCTCAACTCTGAGGCTCACTCTACGAGCAAGTACCGCTGCCCCTACTGTCTCGACACGTTTGGGTCTCTTGCTTCGATCACCCAGCATGTCGAGTCCAACAGCAACAAGTGCCAGATCCGAGAGTCGGAGCAGTTCAATGCCTACATGGACCAGCTTCTCGCCAGCATGGTTGATGTCAAGGAGAGACACCCAGATGGCACCGTTCGCTATGAGACGTCAAAGACCTTTGGCAAAGGCCCTAGCCCTGGCTCAGAGCTCGTTCAGCAGAAGGAGAATCCCAAGGTCAACGGAGGAGACCCTTACGCCGGACAGAAGATTCACTGGTAGATTGCGGAGGGACTCATGCGGAGAACGAATTTGAGATTGGCAAGTTTGAGATGTTAGCTTGGGAGACTACTGGGCAATGTACCTGAGCTTAGATAGCTGAACGATTGACGATGCCCACGTACACATTCTTTGCTGTGAAGTCTTGAATACTTCGTCCACTGTGAGATTATGTAGCATTGCATTGATTCAACTTACAGCAGCCGAGTAGCGGATGCACGTTGCGTTTACGCGTTCAAGAGGCGGAGTTGTAAATTTAGAACCGGAGCGGAGCTAAATGTGGAACCCATTGACCCCTGATGACCTAAGCTTCACAATACAATACAGTGAGAGTAGTAGACAACACTCCCGTAATTAATTTCAGGGTATTTCACCTGTTCAACTTTGCTTTCATCATCTAGTTATTTTGTGTATTTTGCGTCAAAAGACACCTGCAATATTGAGCGTTTGCAGTAAAGCCTGCTGCTGTCTTCTCCTCTGACCTTTCCCCGGATTCCGCGATCGAATAACGGCTTCTTCAAGATCGACTAAACGATACCCCTGTGTTCGCTACGCTGGAACAACGCTATGACGAGACGGTTCGAATAGAATCCTGAATATTCATTGTACGAGCGATCTGCGAGATAGTGTTTGGACTGGCTTCAGGTTACAGGGACGAGACATAAGCGGGCGCAATGGCGACAGCTCGGAGATGGGCGCGCAAGGTCGAGCGTTGCTGTTGTACTTTTGCGACATACTTTCCACTGGCTTTCGTGTACGGTCTAACATCATGGGCGGTTTGGGTGGTTGTGTGTATCGGTAATGCCAGCAGGAAGAGCAGTTGGATAGGTAAGTCTGGGCTGCGGTGTTGCTGATGTTTCCATCTAACAACTTTGCAGGCACTGGTTCTTCGATAATAGGCGTTCTACTTTACATCATGCTCAACTGGTGCTACACTACCGCTGTCTTTACACCTCCCGGCTCGACGACGAACGATATGGGTTACGGACTCCTTCCTACACAAAATGCTCCGCAGGGCACCTCCTTTACAGTCAAGAGTAACGGCGAGTTTCGATTCTGCAAGAAGTGTCAGGCTCGCAAGCCTGATCGTGCGCACCACTGCTCGACATGTCGACGATGTGTTCTAAAGATGGATCACCACTGCCCCTGGTTAGCAACGTGTATCGGCCTGCGCAACCACAAGGCATTCCTCCTGTTCCTCATTTATACGACTGTTTTCTGTTTCTGGTCATTCGCGGTCAGTGGATCGTGGGTTTGGTACGAGGCGCTGGATGATCAGGAATACATCGATACTTTCCTGCCCGTCAACTTTATCATGCTGAGTGTCATCAGCGGAATTATTGGTCTCGTTGTGGGTGCTTTTACAGGATGGCATATTCATCTGGCTCGCTGTGGACAGACTACGATTGAGTGTCTCGAAAAGACACGATACCTTTCGCCGTTGCGCAAAACCTATAACTCTGCTCACAACCCCGCCAACAATGTACCCGAAGCTGCCCGCCATTTCGTCGACTTTCACACAAATGCTCTGCCCGGTATCACTCGACCTGAAGAGGGCGAGGAGCGGCGGTCGTATCCCCCTGATGGTTCTCACCCTGTTCAGCTTTCGTACGCTCAGCGAGAACGAGAACAACGACAAAGACGATACGAGGAGTATCTCGACGAACAGGATTCTGAGAAGCTCCCCAATGTCTTCGATCTTGGCTGGAAACGCAACTTGTTACATCTATTTGGACCTACACCTGTGCTTTGGTTCTTCCCCGTGTCCAACACAACAGGAGATGGCTGGACATGGGAAGCTAGCAGCAAATGGCTTGAGGCGCGGGACCGACTTAAAGCTGAGCGAGAACAACAACGAGCTCGCGAGGTTAACGCCGGCTGGGGATCCCCAGATGATATTCCTGATGTTCCCGAACGACCTACAGGTGCAGGACGGCATTTCACTCCAGGGCCAAAGCTCGCAGGACCTAAGACGATGAGTAAGGCTGATCGAGTTCTGGGCCGTGATCCTAACCTTTACGCCGACGCAACACAAAACGTACCCATGAGTCGACTCAGCCCTCGGGGTCGAACAGTAGACGACGAGCTTGCAGACTTGGACAGTGATAACGACGATGGCTTCATCGACACAAATAATCCAGAGCCAGAAAACGGCAAGCTAAGTCCAAGCTTCACATCAGAAGCTCAACGTCGTGACGACGCTGAGGCTCGCGCCCTTGAAGTCATTACTAATGGTAACTGGGGGCGCGGCGGAGCGAGCGGCATGCTTCGAAAGGGAAGCTCACAGAGCAGCCCCCTCAGCAGAACACCGAGCAATATCAGCCGTTCAGGGACACCAAAGTTCCAAGACGAAGGAGTGGATTAGAACATTGGAGGGTTGTGTTTTCGAAAGCGAATGAAATGAATGAGGTTCCTCGACGTTTAACGTTTCTTGTCACGAGATGAGGAGTTTTGTGTTCTATTCTTTTATTTTCATGTTCGATCATCATATTATTATTATCATTCTCGGTACAGATTACTTTTATCCACAACGTTTTTGGCGGAGTTTTAGTCTATGGTGTATGATCTGATATCCAATATTATTTCGACTTCTACAGTACCCTTTCCTACGGATCCACGGGTGTATATCTACTATAGATCTGCTCTTTTGCCAAGCGTGACTCGTGTGATTAGTCTAAAACTGCCGAGTTGAGATCGTCCACGTTTATGAGATCTACAACACCAACACCCCTTGATCATCGCCATGTCACTTTCGAGGGGGAGAAAAGGGTTACACCGCCCAATCTCACTCCCTACGACAATGATATTGCCTGTCAACCGAGAACTTTGGCGTGTTTCAGAACGCTGGATTGACGCCGTCATGCCCTGGGTTCTCGGCATGTGCCCGCAGGAGTATCCCAGGCCAGCTCGCAGCAGGGAACTTGGCGTCATCTGGCCAAGTGAGACTATCCACATGTGGTATCTCCTTCGCTTGGCTGACAACTGCGTCACCAAGGCACTTCTCTGCATCTAATCTCAGCAGAAGCTTTTCGATCTCGGTGTAGTATTCGTCAACGCCTAGACTTGTCCTGTAATCTTTCGATCCAAAGTCAGACAGCACGCCGAGGCGTATGAGACGGGACAAGGGATCTATTCGCTCTGCTATGCCTGGTGACGTATGTACTGCGATGGCAGTCCAGACTTGATGTGACGCAGCCTCAGAATAGCCGCTTTTGACGAGATGGGCCTTTGCGCAGTCGGCAGAGCAGATCTCAAAGCGTTGCTCTCCATTGTAGAGATGGCTTGCTCCAATATCATGATGAATAGCTGCTACGAAGAGAAGTGGAATCTGATCTTCAGAATTGAAGGGAGAGTCTTCTTTCTCGGCAATATACCGAGCTAGAAGATAGACTCGAAGAGAATGATTCAGGATGGGGATAGGCAAAGCATCCCTGGCGAGTTGAAGAGCTGACAGACAAGTATCAGTCTGAGGTATCTTTTCCAGTACAAGGGGGTTTATGCCGCTCATCATGACTCTCAGACGATATTCATAAAGGAACGTTACAAATGCTACGCTTTGAGATGAAGCTAACATCCCAGGTCTCTTCCTGTCCATATCCAAGCGGGGTTGACGTGAACGCTTACAAAGCTTGCAACGTTCGAGCTGAAATGACATCTTCAACTCCACTACCCAACCCCCCTCATCCAGAAACTCAGAATAGCCTCATTCTCATTCCACACGACATGCTCTTCTCAACGGGCGCACACCCCCCAGCGACGATCTTACAAGATCAGCATTGGAGAGGGGGGGACCCTGCGGGGAAGACGAGACGAATATGGAACGAGCGCCTTTTAGTGAGAACCGTAAAATAAGAATGAGGCGGTTTCGTCGCTGGGATTAGGAGGTTGAACTTGTGGAGATTAGTTTATAACTATTCTGTTAAGGAGCAGGGGTAATAATACGAAAATACGAGTCATAGGCTTTATCAGAGATTCATGTGTTTGTAAAATAGTTCATTTCTCATTATTCCCCTCTTCGCCCTTGAGTCAAGGCCAAGAAGAACTCTTCCACTAAAGGGTGAAGGGAACTATGGCCTATCCCCAGATTGAGGGGGTGGCCCAGTAGTTTGTTTGTTTTGTTTGTTGTAGCGTGAGCCACCGGTATGTGTATATCATGATTTCCCTATGTCGATCCATTGTCCCATCTCAGAGGCCTCAAAAAAGTGAGGGATATCTCCGTCTTCTCCACCTGCCATTCCAACCTCCCTTATGCCCGTGCAATAACCTTTCTTCCTATCATCTCGTCTTCCGTGCCAGGTGACATTGATGACATCAGATTGTAGCAGAATCAACAAGAGAGTCAAGAGATGAGAGAGAGATATTGTGGGCCAAGTAAAGTGAGAGTGCTTTCAGCAGAAAAGAGATATTTCCCAAGTGTTTGGCTCCCCTGCCTTGTGCCGATCTATAATACGTGAATTCCGGTATTCCCCTGTGCAATGCAAGTTTCCCTGACGCTCCCAAATCACGGCCAAGCGTGGTGTATGCAGACTCCTTTTCATTCCCGTCCTGTTCCTTTGATCCATCGAGGCAGCTTCAATGCCCCGATAATAAAATAATATAAACATAGAATCCCAATAATGACCAACACCGTCCACGCTAAAGGGGGTATTTGTCCATCTTTAACTGTTTTTTTCATGCGCCGTATTTTTAAGGAAATCGTCGTGTACCAGAGGGTACTGTTAAAAAGGGTTATTCAAACGCTTCAACCCTGCCTTGAATAAATGAAAAGAAGAAAATGGAAAAGAAACAAAGTAAACAGTAATGGCGCAGGCTCCATCCATCAAGTCACAGATCCCTTCAGTCCCATCGCGTGTCGCGCCAGGATCCTCCTGGGATCATGGAAGAAAGATGTTTGTGACTAACATCATAGGATGGCTTCGGATACCCTTTGCCCAAGATCCTTGTCGATATCAGACTTAAGCAGCGTCCAGATCCAGCTTCGTCAGGCTCAGTATCGATCGATCGAGAAGTGAATGGTAAAAAAGAATTATATCCAAGAAGGTTGAAAATAGTGTTCGTACAGATGAGATAGATGTGACTCAGTTGGTAATCAATAGCTGTCAAAGCTCGTCTTCTCGGAGCTAGACTTTTCAATGGTACTTTTAGGGCTGGTGTTGATTCGGCTGAAGACCTTGCCACCAAGACGGTTGAGCTTGTTTCCGTCTTGGGTGCGGCGAGGAGCATCGATCAACATCTTCTGGACCGAGTCGACCTTAATCTTGCAGAAGAGCTTAGAGAAAAGGTACTGGTCCCCAGCATGGTTGAGGAGAGGCAGGGTGCGGTAGCCCTGCTTGAGGTTTGTGAGTTTGGCGGTGTATGTAGCGACGGCAGGGCGCTCATTGTAGCTCTCGCCATCGTTGGAGAGCTTGACCGACCAGCGAACGAAGATCAGGTCAGGGTGCTTGGTGGTAACTTTGAACTTGAACTGCTTGTCGAACATGGGGTTGAAGCCGTTCTCGCGGATCACCTCAGTCTGGACTTTGAGGGGCGAGTCGTGCTCCATGACCAAGTTAGAATCAGCCTCCTTCTTATCGCGCTTGTCGTTGGCGTGGAAGATCTCGATCTCCACGTAGGGGTCCATGGACTTGTTGGCGGGAAGGTTGGCAGGTCGCATAAGCTGTTGGGCAGAGATGACATCAATGCTGAACGAGACAACGCTGCGCTCCTTCTTGCCCTCGGCAATGTCGGAGTTGTAGGGGAGAACTTGAATGTCTCGGAGCTCAGCGGGCTTCAAGACGTAGCCAGAAGCATCCTTGCCATCGAACATGGCACGGTTGAGCTGCATTCCGAGGTCGAATGTCTGCCAGTTGAGAGCGGCCATCTGGACACCGCGTCGCCAGTAGATAAGGGGGTCGAAGTTGTTGGAGGTGATGCGGGTTCGGTCGGGGTAGACGCGCATCATGTAACGCATGTTGTGGATATCAAGTGCCATCTTTTGGTCCTTAGCACGGGAGTGCTTGGCAAAGCTAGACTCCATGAAGGAGAAGATGTGGTTGTACTGCTTCGCGTCCACTGTGTCAAAGCCAGAGAACTTGACACCAGCGCAGTAGACACCCAGTTCACCAAGGACCTTGACAGTCTTGTTGGGGGCCTTCTTGGCTGGCTGTTCACCTGCGCTCTCGTTGTCGCTAGTGCTGCTGCTCATCATATCCTGAACACGGCCCTCGGTGATAGTGTTGACACGGGTCTTGCTGACCAATCTTCGCGAGGAGTGGCTGGGTGTCAACATAGGGCTCTGGGGAAGGGACTGAGAGGGCATCAAAGGAGTGCCATCGGGAGCCGAGGGTCGCATCATAGGTGAGTTGAGGCTGTTACCCCTTCGTCGACCACGGAAGTCATTGCCGACGGAAACAGGCTCTTCCTTAATCTGAGGCTTCTTGACCTTGATGAGGACACGTTCCATCAGCTCGGAAGGGGTAGGGAGCTTATCGGGGAACGCCTCCAAAGTCTCCGTGACCAATCGTGCACCGAAGCATTCCTTGATGATCTCCGTCATTGTCGCCTGTTGGGCCGGACTGCAATGGACCTCGAGTGAAATCCAAAGGGGGTACTTGGACTTGACGAAAGCGTACTTGTTGATGGTGGTCATAACCTCCTTGAAGCTGATTGAAGTCGTCATGGTGCGGCCATGATTAACTTCGGGCTGGCCGTTGTAGCCGTCCCAGCAGTCGACCTCAACACATCGGCATCCCCGGACAAGAGCTGAGATGTAGCCCTCAACGCTAGACTGACCAGCAACTTGGCGACCGAGGAGGTAGGTGTTGTGGGAGCTTGAAATGAAATACTCGTTCATCGGGCGGTCCAGGACAATGTTTTGAGGCTCGGGTTGGATCACATCGTTATGCTCTGACGTCAAGAAACCAACAAAGGCGGCTTCGGACATAATCTCGGCGTTTTCTTGAAGGTCGACCTCATCATTGCGGTACTTACGGCAGAACCGAGAGAACAGCTTCTCCCAGGCAACGCGATTGGAATCAACATCCTCGCCTTGGATGTCACGGAGAAAGGTGAGGAACTCTGTCGAGGTAAGACCGAACTCGGGGTTGGCGGCAAAGCCACGGATAATTCGTTGAACATCGGTCCTTTGCTTCATGCGCCGAACAAAGTCCTTGAACTCCCTAAAGTTTAGTTTTTGTCGTCGTCGCGAATCAGACAAGTGGAAGTTGACTTCCAGGGTCGCTTGTGAACTGTAAATGTGAAGGTTTTGGCACACACGCTTCACTCCGGCAATGTTCATCTCCTCTTGCTCGGGGCTGCGAACCTGGTCACCAAACTCCTTGGCCATCTCTGTTTGCCAGTACTGGGCAACAGCACGGTCGTTGAATGCCATCAACGATGTCATGAGTTCTTGACGGTATCTCAACATGGCGTCCAAGAATTCTGTCCAAAGTGACAAGCTCTTAGTGTTGTCTGTGACAATGTGCAGAAATCTTGTTTTCGAGTTCTCGGGAACTGTGTAAATGATAGTAAACCACTTGTCGCTGTACTTGGCTGCCTCCTCGCCCAGGCCGTAGTCGATGATGTACTGTTGGATATCTGAACCTGTTCGGATTTCTCTAATCTCATCGACATGGAGAGACTTTTGAGGTCGAGTGGCATCCCAGGAAAGCTTGTTGGATTCGGTCTCGTATACAAGGTTGATTCTCTTGGGTCGACTCTTCTTCGAAACCTTTCTCACTGGGCATCCATTGCGAAGCTCGGCCGGAAGCACTGGGCCAGCCATAGCACCAGCGCTTGCGCTGATGGATCCATGAGTGCTGTTGGCGGATGAGGTGTTGGTAGCACCATCGAGTCCAACCATAGAGATGCAATCGTCGGGGATGACCTCAGGCTCCTCATCAGTATCCGTCAGGGCGCTGTTCTCCTGGGGGGCTGTGGCGTTGCTGTCACTACGGCGTCTGAGAATGCTGGGGCCAACACTTCCGTCACGGCTGGTAGGGGCACCAGAGGACGGTCGTCTTCTACCAGTAAATCGGTGGGCTCGGTTTGAGAATCGGCGAATGAGACCTCCTTTGCTGTTGTTGGCGACTTCAGACATGGCATTGTATCCAAGAGAGTTTGTACTCGTCTTCCGGGAGAGCACGGATTCGGGCAACTGAAAGCTTGAAGGGAATGCCTCCTCCTCCCTACCTCGCATGGGCTCAGGCGAGGGCTGGACGGAGGAGTATGTAGTTAGAACAGCAGCGTCGGGAGACATGAGTGGTGAGCCCTCTTGTGAGTTTGAAGCTCCTGATGAAGCACTGATAGCTGACATGGGAATGGGGACTGGTTGTGTTTGTGAAGGAAAGGCTGTCTGGACCTGACCTAGTTGAGTGCGTGTTAATGAGGACATTTCGGATAGGTTGTGAGCTGTTAATGTGGAGTTTGAGTCTGAATCAAAGCTGAAAGACATGGTCGTGCTGAGAGTTGCGATTACACTATAAGGGCGAGAAAGGTCGCATTCGAAGGTTGCTTCGACGTATATAAAAGCTCAGTCAGAATGGGGAGCCATGGTGGGACGTCTGGCCTGGGGGTAACGATAAGAGACGCGAATTGCGGGGAAGAGGCTGCGGAAGCCGATCCCTCGTGGAGCAGCTGTCACTCTGGGGTGCAGCCAGTGTCAGGTAGGATGCCAGAAGAGCCAGGGCAGTGTCGACCGCACGTAATGAATGCAGATGCAGGGACGCAAGAAGCCTGTGGTGTTGCTGAGTGGACCACACGAGGGTAGTGATGCTGAGCAGCACGCGGGTGACGGGGTAGGTCCTGACAAGGCCGATCCGAGGCGTGATGATGTGCCAAGTTCGCAGCAGCGTGGTGAGCTGGCAGAGGGCGGGATATGCAGGTGGCTCCTTTGGGGCCGCCTTGGGGTCGCTGGATCAAGCAAAACAGGGCGTTCGTCTTTGACAGGCACAGAGCTGCAGCACAGCGCGGAACCACTGGTCCAGGTGATTGAAGAGAATGAAGCAGTCCGTCGAGAACCACAGGTCGGTCAGGTTGGGGTAGCTTAAGCTACAAACACCTCCTTCGATAGCGTGTCAACACCAACAACGTCCTGCGCTTGGTGGGTTTCCTTGCGTCGATGTGATAAAACCCGAAACTGCCGAAAGTTCAATGGGTCTTTTCCAGAGGAGATCTCGATCAGGCGCAATTTCGAATGGAAAACGATAACAATTCCGGCAAGCCGCAGGCTCTTTTAGTAACAGGTTCCAAGAAGGGAGTTCGAAGATCGAGGTCGAACTGGCTGAGTCACCCAACGTCAAGGGAACGCGACAAAGTTCGGAATTTCAGCTCTGTCGCAAATTGATCGGCGAATTGCAATTGAGCAGCGCTTGGTTGTCGAATGTGTGATGGGAGCAGTCTGGGTAACGCTGGCGGAGTGGAAGATTCGTCTCTCTCGAGTAGAGTGTCAAAGGGTTTCTTTGAAGAAAGTAGATTGTTATGACAGACAAGAAGTGAGAAAGGCAAAGAGGTGAGTTAGGTTGTCAATGGGAAAGTTGGTGGTGGAGCGGGAGGGGTAGAAAAGATAGTTGAGATGGAAAAGGGGGGGAGTCCAAGTAGTAATAAGTAGCCTGTGGTGGAAAAAGGTAACTGAGTACTGGGAGGTAGTAGGTAGTAGGTGGCAGCTTGGGGCGGTGGCTGTATGATAGCCCGGGAACCAGAAGGTTAAAAAAGATAGAGAAAAAAAAATAGGGCAATCTCCTCCTGGTGCAGTCCAGTTGGTAGAGCGAACTGGGCAAGGGAGGGCAGAAGCTTCAAAGTATGATGGCGTCCTCTTTTGGCGCGCGTTGGAGCGGGCGAGACTTGAGACTTTGTAGAAAAAAGAGAGCTAACGTCAAGAAAGCTAGATCGCAGAATAGAAGAGACTGAATGGAAGCTGCTGGTGCTTGGACGCGGGCAGCGGAAGAGTCTTAAGTTGTATGCGGCAGCGGTGCGCTGAGCCAGAGCCAGACCAGAGCCTGGGCGGTTGCTGTTACGGTTCCGTTGGGCTCTCTCTGTCTGCGACTTGGGGGTGTCTTCTTGGGCTGCCCTGGGGCCGGGAAATTATGGCGGAGGGGTGACCAGCCAAGACTGTACCTTTGGTTTTTTCTTTATTTGGAGCGTCTCTACTTGACACTTGACACGAGCTGATCTTCTGGCAGTGTCAGTGTCAGTACTAAAGTCTGTGCTGCGTTGTAGCCTGTGCTGAGGTTAATGCCTGTAGGTACCTACTGACCTAAGTTAGGGCCTCTTCTGCTGCGCTGTACGGCGCTGCCTGCTGGCCTCCACTGTGTTGTGTTGACCGAGTCGAAAGCGTCTGTGTGAGCTTCACTAAGCCTAGTCCTAACAGCCCACTAAGGTCTCAGTCACGACCTATACCTGTGCCTGTGTGCCCCGTGCTTGTCCCTGTAACAGACAGATATTACATACAGTACGTTATGTACTCACTCTATCTACACCTCTCCTCATATTGATCCGCTGTCAATCTCTAATGTGTAACTCAGGAGAGGAGTCTGGGCAGAGACAGGCAGGGTGATGAGGATGACCAGAGTGAGTAAGTGATTGATTGAACCATTGATTTGATGGGACCAGCATCCAACGATACTGGGGCCGGTATTGTATGTACATACAGAGAGAGACCAGGGATTTCCCAGCGCTGGGAACCTTGGACTGTGGGGTACGTACCCTTCCATCTCCCTACAGCCCTCTTTTTTTTAATTATTTTTTTCCCTTTCCCTCTCAATTTTTACTGTGGACGACAGACAGACCGGGGTGGATACTGGAGAGACTGGGGAGGGGACCAGGGGGGGTGTATGATTTTCATCCACTGCAACTCGATAGAGTGGGGTTTTCCATGGTCAATGGTCAAGGGGGAGGCGAATGGTTAGGCCCTGATGGTGTGTGAGTGTGTGTGTGAGAGAGTGTGAGTGAGTGAGCATGTCCTCCTTATGCAGCCAGACACAGAGTCCAAGTTTAGGTGGTTGAGAGGTGTTACCCAAGGCCCAAGACTTGATCGATACAAGGGAGACAAAGTTGAGTTTGCAGGGAGACACCAGCCTAATGCAACACATTCAACTCAACCTCAACTCTGATGAAATGTTCCGAGGTCTAACTTGTTCTGATACACCACCTGTGCACATGACCAAAAATTAATGTCGTTAAAGGACAATGTCTCGAACTGAGATTGACCGACATACCACGTTGTGCCTTCCAGACCAATATAATCATTATACATACAGCACTCCGTACACACAGACAAATACGGTGAACCTCCCTCCTCACTTGTCTGCTCACCTGCTTGCTTGATTGCTCACTTTCCGTGTACACACTATGCCTCGGTGCTAAGAACAGGGCGGACGGGCCAAGTCACCCAAGCAATTGGTAGACATGACAGCACAAGAAGAAAGGGGGGGTAGAGTCATAGTCATGCCAGTTAAAGGACAAGACGGTTACACGGGAAACCCAGCGACAAAAAGCTAGACTCAGAAACATAGCATAGGCCAAGCAAGTCCTACCATAGGGTCATCGTCAACGTGCCAGGGATAAGTCGAGTTGCATATCGGATAGGCTGGACTGGATGCTGGCTTATCTTTGGTTAGCTTACCCTGTCTTCCATCACCTATGGACTAGCCAGCAAAGAAAAAGAAAGGGCGAGATGCAAAGGGAACTGCATTGCATTGGAAAGACGTGCTCAGAGCGGTGTGAGCTTGACTCGACCGAAACTCTTGGAAATTGTCAGAGTATCCATGCCTTTGAGAGAAGGTTATTCCATCTCCCACATGGGGAACCGGAACGTTGGAAGATGACGGTGGATCCTGGCTCGATCCTCCTCCAAGCTCTCCTCTCTTCCATCCTCTTTCCCTTGCGAATTACTTGTAGAGCACCTCCCTGGAATCCAAGTATCGTCTAGAGCAACATGGGGTTGGCAATTACGCGATAAGCTTCATTATCTCATCATAGTTTCCTCAAATCAGAAGCTTAATCTTATAAAAGATACACTCTGAAGCCTTGAATACGTGGAATTCGGGAACCGTTGTGTTGTAACTTTAGCGTCCCAGCTTACACTTAGCGCTCGGTAGTGGGCTTGGACTGTTCCTTTGAAGGGTCGGATTGAGGCTTTGTGCTTGTAGGCGGGATTCGGGGCTCGGCCATCATATGGATGCCATGGATCATGGATATTGTGGCTCACACCGTTTTCTTTCACTTCCTCTTTGGCACCCCTTTTCTGGCTTTTCTAGCGCCCAGTCCATCAAGGTCGACAGAATAAACGCGACACCGCTTGCCTCAAAGTGCTCTGTGGGACTCCTCCTCGTCTATTCGGGAGTGCGATAGTGCGCCGCAACGGGCCAACAACAGTGGCCAACAACACTCTCGAATCGAACCGGCTAGCCATTGAGAGTGGAGAAAGACGCCATAAATATCATCATCATAAATCATCATGCTTGCGATCGCATTTGACATTATCGTTGATGATGATTGATGACTTCGGCACTCGATCCTTGTGTAACTCAATAACTAGTGGGCTTGCAACACAAGCTGATCTTAGATGCTTCAATACATGAAATACTCATGGCGATCAAGGGTTTTGTTCAAGGGAGAGCCGGCGCAAAACAAGAGAGATAGAGGTGCGCGCCGCTGGATCCGAGAGGTCTGAGCTACACACCTTTACTATCAAGCTGGTCAATCAGAATGAGACGCGCCGGCGCGAATCCAATTTCTCGGCCATGCCAGAGCAATCCAAAGGGACGATAGGCAACCCTCCGTTCCTGACTAACAAAGCTGTCTGGCAGCGAGATAAAAACGATGTGAATCTACGTGGACGAAATGGTCCGATAGACATGTGCTATCAGTCTGGTTGGTCGTAACACAATTGCTTGATGATGAGCAGCCATCTCAGAATGACGATGCAATAAGACGCCATACCCCTCCTTGGTAGCCAGCCATGCCATGGCACTGTGGTAAAAGCAAAGTTTTGTCAAATTCGACCAAGTTCTCTCTAAGACGAGGGCGATCGAGCAATCAATGATCACGATACGAACTTGGAAACCAAGACCGTATCCGGTCAGACTGCCTGAATAAAAAAGAGAAGAGGGGCAAAGTGGTGAAAAAGTCTATAGTCTGGGTTGGGGTTGGGCCTTTTCTGCTTCAACTTTTCCAAGAAAAAACTTTGACTTTGGCCTAATAAACAAGCTTGGTTTCCACGCTCAACCGAGCAACCACCAAAGATTGTCTCGATTCTGCTGTTTATCGTTTTGTCTTTGTCGACTCCTTTCTGTCCTCTTGGCAGATGTTTGCATTCTCGTTTGTCCTCGGTTGTAAGACCCTCTCAAATCATGATCACGAGGGGATCAAAAAGGGAGAAAAAGAAATGTCAAA